GAGGGAAAGGGAGAGGGAGAGGGAGAGGGAGAGGGAGAGGGAGAGAGAGAGAGACGTGGGTAGGTGGTTTGCTGTTATCAGACATCCTATTGGCCAGCTGTTCAGAAAGACTGCTCAATCTAAGGTTCTGTCATACATCAGTTTTCAAAATGGCTTCTGGCGGTGTCTTGCACAAAGCAGTCAAGATGTACTTAGCCCTAAATTTAGAATTTTTTAAAATCGCCATTTCTGAATCACTGGAATTGGTAGAATTGTGCTTAAGAAATATTTTGTCGAAATTTTAATTCTAAACAGTGAAAAGGGCAAGAAAAGAAACATTAAGTAGGTACATTTGTTTAAAAAATTCATGAAAAATGTTGATTTCTGAATTTAAAACTTTTCAACTGCTTGCCCACGATGAGTTCCCCACATACTTAAAGAATTAAGAGGCCGATTACGATTTCTGATTCTTCACTCATCTCTGAAATGTCTGAACAGATAAAAAATGAAAAGCTCTGAGAACTACTGTAATATCTCAGGTCTAAAATACACCATTAGTGAATTGAACAAGGGCCTTCTGCCGCCCCCCCCAACCTGTAGAGCGCGACGCACCTCGTGTATGGGATGGTACAGAGAAGGCCAATACTACTGGCACTGGCGATGGGGTAGTGAGCAGCCAACTGCACCACTGAGCTCATGGCCTCGGCAAATGCCTCGCGCACCTCACTCACCATCCCACCGCACCGCAACTCTTCCACTCTGCGGAATGACAACCAGAGACATAAATTTAAAGAAAAATTAAAATGCATATTGACAGAGTCTGGTCATAAATGGGCCACCTGCAACATTTTCTAAAACCTTATTTTTGGCAATGTTGTGAAACAGTCAAATATGTTATCCCAATAAAAGGTGTAAAAATTCAACAAAATATAAATACTTACAATATCATTAAAATTTAAATTGAAGCAATCTTAGACAGTTTTATTTAACATTGTTTTTAACCTCGTGAAAAATAGGCTCCCTGGGAGATGGCTCATTTGTGCCAAATGAAACCTTTAAAAACAAAGAAAATAAGATACAAAAGAAGATTTTTACCACCTAGCATAAGGCTATTGTCAGAATAAGCATAGATGTGTATTGCTCTTTAGAGTACATATCTATATAACTCCAAAGGTCTTGAAATTAAATCCCTGCTTGTGGTTGAATGATGCATCTGATGAGATATGTACATTTTGTCAGCTTTACTCCTCTTTTCATAATGAAATTTAATGAGAGTAATATATAATTCAAATTTTTATGTATACCTGTAAGTGATTTAACGGTCCTGTAAAGCCAAGAAAAATTTTCCTCTGAGGTAATAAAGTATTATCTTATCTTATCCTAACTTAATCTCCCCCCCCCCCCCCCCCTTACACCTTGGCCCATGATACTGCACAGATATCACAACTGATAGTAATAACAATAACAACAACAATAATAATAACAACAACAACAATACTAATAATAATAATAATGATAACGATAATAAAAGTAATAGCATTTATATCGCACATATTCACACTAAACATTATTACCCTAGCACATCCAAAAACCATCAGAAACGTTTTTGGCTTCCCAGGAAGCATGCAGTGCAAGCAGCTGATCAAACTCTTGAACACTAACAAACTGACAAGACAACTCATTGTCTATAAATAATGAAGATGACAGAAACACTTTGCAGAAACAGACAGTGGACCGTACCAGAGCACTGATAACCACAAACTTATTTTCTTTCTCTTTCTCTCTCACTCTTCCTCTCTCTTTCTGTCTCTCGCTCCCTCACCTAGGTCCATGTCTCAAAACTGAAGCCACAGCAGCCACCAGATGAGTGGCCCCACCCACATGCGCAGCAGCTGCCAAAAGGTCTTTGATGTGGGTCAAGGATGTTTTGCGGATACAGCCTCGCTTGTAGCGGTCCTGGGCGGCCTGCAGGAACTGACTACAGGAGACCTGGTGATAACAACAAGACACATCTCATTGACACATCCTCATCTCAGACACTAAGTAGGCGCTAGCGGTCTGAGCTGACTGGTCAACTTTCAACTAAACCACAATAAAGTATTAATTTCTCATATAATCTGTCAAAACAGTCTAAGACAGCCGTCCTTTGTCCTAGACAAAAGTGGGGGTATTAGAAAGCTGGTATTTTACACAATGTCATTATAACATTTAAAAAATATGCAAGAGAGGAAATGGGCAGAGGCCGTTTGAGAAGGCAATTGTATTATACAGGTGGCCGTTAGAGCAAGTTCGACTTTATTTAACACTGTCTGCTTTTTAGGGAGAGAGTGGCTGGGAGCACCCCCAAGAGACTTTCATCTTTTCTAACCTTACCACCCTCCCATTGTTTCTGTCCATCTTTCTTGCTTTCTGCCTGCATGTTTTAAGTATTTTTCTTTTCTTTCTACCTTTTGTGGAAAGCAAATCACTTTTCAGAGACAATCTTCTAGGCTCTTGGTGTTCCTCACTCAACACTTCTACTGTGCTTCTTGAAATGTGTATGTGTGTGTATGTGTGTGTGCGTGCGTGTGTGTGTGTGTGTGTGTGTGTGTGTGTGTGTGTGTGTGTGTGTGTGTGTGTGTGTGTGTGTATGTGGTGTGTATGTGTGTATGTACGTGTGTATGCATGTGTGTGAGCATTTGTGTGTATGTGTGTGTGTGTGTGGGTTTGTGTGTGTGAGTATGTGTGTGTGTATGTGTGCATGCGTGCATTAGCGTATGTGTGTGTGTATGTGTGTGTATGTACCACTCACTGCTTTCTCCGGGTCACTCCCTATGAAGGCAAACAGCTGGTCTATGACTATGACGTGCGGCGGTTTATCGCCATCCCCATCGTCCACCAAGTCCTGCAGTATTGAGGTCGTGCGCCGATACTTCTCTCCTTGCCGCCACCTGAGGACACAACACAATACAACAACAGTAGGATCATATTTTGTATTGATAAAACATTATAGCACATAAGCTCTCTTTCTTTCAGATATACACATACACATTCTCTCTCTCTCTCTGTCGCTATCTCTCCATCTCTCTATTTCATAGACGTTCACATACATATTCTCAAATTCTCTGTCTCTTTCTGTAACACTCCTACTCTCTCTTTTCTAGATGCTCATATACACATTCTCTCTCCCTCTCTTTCTCTCACAGATGCCCAAATACATTCTCTCTCTCTCTCATTATCTCTGTCTTTCTCTCTCTCACAGATGCATGCATAAAATTCCCTCTCTCTCTCTTCCTTTATCTCTCTGACTCTCTTTCACAGCACACTGAAGCACACAAACATTCTCTCTCTCTCTCTTTCAAGATCTCTCTCTCTGTTCCTATAACAGATGCACACATACACATTTTCTCTCTCCCTCTTCCCCCCCCCTCTCCCTCTCCCTCTATCTCTCTCTCACCTCTGATGTTTGAAGTGTGATGACTCATCAGGGTCCATGCCCACGGGTGCCGACATGCTCCGGCCAAAACCTTGGACAGGTCTCAACACATCCGTGTCAGACTTCACCATCAGATCCTCTGTACATATTGGGAATAAAATGTCCACTTACAGAAAAGAGCATCAAACTTACAACTCACAAGTCTCTGTCTCATAGTCACAGCACATCTGTTTTTAAAAAAAATTAATGCTGGTGTCTTTATGCCCCTGTCGACACAATTTAGATTATCTAGGCTTCAAATCCTGCCTGTCAGGGCCAACCCAGACTGAGAGGGATATGACATCCCAGCAGAAAGACAGATACTCCCTACAAATTTTCTCCCTACTCGGGAATTAAAATACGGGTGTCTTGTGGGCAACAACGAAGCTCCTTACTGCTATACCACTGCCACCGACTAGCTAGTCAGATGCACAAAGCCAAAAAAAGCCAAAAATTTTGATTTAATTTAAAAAAATGCAGTTTCTTAATCTGTGGTATGGTCTGCATGTGCTCAAGAAAGTGTTATCGAAATTCAAATTCTAAAAGTTGAAAAAAAAAAGAACACAATGTAGATACTATTTTGTAGAAAATTTTGCTTAGCATGCTTCGAACATTTGAACTGCTTGTTGACGATATATGGAACGGTACAACAAATTTTCCACTAAGAACAAGTCACTGTCTCGCAGTTATAATATTTACCCAATCCTGTAGTCTGGCTAAAATCAGCAGTTTAAAAAATGCAGCCCAAATGTTCAATACAGGCAAGACATGGCTAGGGTTTGCACCTCATTTCTCCCTCAGAGTTCCCCAAATGGTGAGAGTAACTAGGATAAAAAAAATGAATTACTGTCATTAAGCTGTAGCTTTGTTTCTATTTCTAGAGAGGAAGGCATACTGGACATACTCTCAGGAAGCTAGGCAGCTGCATAAGAAAGAAAATGATAGATTGGAATCCATTAGGTAAGAGATCCAAGGGTAGGCCATGTGAAACCTGGAGGAGAAGAGTCACAGAAAATGATATACAGAAAAGTGGGAAGACATGGGATAACATCAAAAGGCTAGCCTGTGATAGGGAAAGGTGGAAAGTGCTTGTTCGTGGCCTATACCCTGATCCAGGGTGAGAAAAACAATGATGAAGATGGTGGTGATGAAAGCTCTGGGCGACTGCCGGTCAAGGCTATCTCTTCACCTTTAAAGCCCTGTGTGTGAGATAAGGTCCTGGTAAGTGCTGACTCAGCATCTACGGGCACACTGTTCACATGCAGCAGCAGTTCCAGCCGAGACAGAATTCCAGACACCACCTGCCGGCTCTTGGCCATCGTTGTTGTTGTTGTCGTTGTCGTTGTCGCTGTTGCAGGGGATGTGGTGTCATCGTCTCTCAGGGAAGACACAGACCGCAGAGATTCCACCTCAGCCTCAAACTTTTCTCTGAGGACGAAAAAAAGAAAGAAGAAAGAACCGAGTCAGTGTCAAAATGTTTGCATTTGCTCCCAATTTTCTCATTTTCTTAATGTTGTGGTTGTTGTTGTTGCTTGGAGCGCAGATGCTGTTGATGGTACTGGAAAACTAATAATTGTGTTGTTGTTGGTGTTGTTGTTGTTGTCACTGTTGTTGGTGTTGGTAATGGTGGAGGTAACGGTGGTGGTGAAGAGGCTGTGGCTATTTTAGTCATTACGTTGGTGCTCTTTGGTTCAGTTCAAGCAGTGATCATCTCCAGTCTTAGAGATTTAGAGCCAATCGCGACCTCAGTGCTTTCTTGTCGTATCTCCATTTTTTAACAGTGAAAATGTGACACCTTCTTAAGCTCACTCTTTGTGATGAACTGTTTTCACTGGGTTTTTTAAAATAAAGATACGACAAGGAAGCATTGCAATCGTGTAATGTCTTACTGCACTCAACCAGAGATTTCCCTGTAAGAATTTTCCTCCAATTATTTTTCTTTTAAAATCAACTTCACAGACGATGGTCTATATGAAAACATGTCATAGATTTTTTTTTAAAACAACAAATGAAACCAATTTCTTGAACTGTCTCGAGCTGAATCAAGAATGTGAAAAAGAGTATTAAAAATGCATGTTGTATACACAAGAGTGTGTTTGTGTTTGTGTGTGTACTACTCAAAACTTTCTCACAGCTATACAACTATGACCATTGAGCTATTGTCTGCTTTCCAATAGTTAGTTTCCCACCTACTTTATTTAATTTTAGTAGTTTAGTTTTCGTGAGAGCTTAACCACATTTGCAACACTATTAGGTCAAATAAATGCCAAAGATTAAAGGTGTTATTAGAGAGTAAAATACTACGAAAAGAAAGAGGAGAGATAAGGACGATAGATGTTTGTTGGGATAGAAAAACGAAAACCACACCTGAACACCCGCCAACCATCCATATACAGACTTTACCAACCAAAGCATTATGTTTTTCAACAACCTCCCCACCCCTCACAGCCTTATCTTGTCCCACATACTATATGAGACAGACTGCCACAGCCACTTACAGAAGGTTCTTCACAGTAGACTCCATATCTGCCGAATCCACAGCTACTTCCTTTACAAAAGCTAGGATCGTGAGCTCCTTGTGACGAACCTGGAAATAAAATACCAAACACCAAAATAAAATCACAGAAATAAAATCCTGAATATGAATCCAAAAATTAATAAATCCCCAGAAGTAAAATCACAGAAATAAAATCATTGATATGTAATCACAAAAACTGAATCCCACAAATAAAATCCTTAATGATAGTCAAAAATGAATTGCTACAATTTGAACACAAAGGCCAGGAAAAGATGTACAGTTAAAGAAAAGATGAAGAGGGTGAGGTGGTGATGGGGCTAGATTTGTAGAAAACTCCAATTGTCAAATCTTGATACAAAGACAGCAACAATTTAGCTGAACACAAGGAGAAAAGGCAGCCTATACAAAGTAATTAACTCTTTAACCCCAGAATCATTTTCCACATTTTGACAGAATTTAGGGGGAATCTCATGAAATACATAGCCATGTATACGCGCAGAAATATTCAAAACACGGCTAAATTTGTGACAGAGGAAACAGTTTATATTTTTATCTAACACTTCCATGTCAAAACAAATCTACTCCAATTCATAAAAGATTGTATTAATAGTAATACTTATGCACTCTGCGATCTGATCAGACAATGGGCCGTCCACATGGGGACCGGGCCAGTTTCACCCGACACTCCCATCATCCAGTCGGAGTAAATAAGAGTTAAGACGTGTTCTAAACCAAAAACCTACCTCCTGCAAGTGGTAATCGTGAAAGAAAGGCGGCTCTGGGTCCGAGCTCGGGATAAGATCCGTGCTGACCGTCACAGACGCTTTATCCTCCACCTCTGTCTCCCAGCGCTTCTCTAGCTCTGCCATGATCTAAGAGAGAGAAGATTCTTATTAACGGAAAGTATTCATAATTATAATGCAGATCATTTCTATAGCACCCACTCCCACACAATGTAGGTCTAGGCACTTGAGAATACCTTCATCTTAACAAAAATACAGTTTCATTGTTTTATACAGTAGGCATATAATAAAGTGGACATAATTTCCTTTCAGTGTGCTCCTAGCTAATCAACACCTAAAAGTCCTACTGCTATGACGTCAAAATATAACACATGTTTTCTACACACATGATATATATCTATCTACATATTACATTTATACAGCATGTATATTGAGAGAGAGAGAGAGAGAGAGAGAGAGAGAGAGAGAGAGAGAGAGAGAGAGACAGAGAGAGAGAGAGAGAGACAGACAGAGAGAGACAGAGAGAGAGAGAGAGAGAGAGAGAGAGAGAGACAGACAGACAGACAGACAGACAGACAGACAGACAGAGAGAGAGAGAGAGAGAGAGAGAGAGAGAATTCTCTATATCTGGATATACCTTTCTATGTAAAAATATACACATATATTATCTCTTTACACAAATATGATATATACACCTATTTCTATCTACAGTGTTCAAAGAGGGGTGTGGGACAAAGCGGCGTCTCACCTGCAGCTGCCTCATGAGGACGTCGAACCTGCGGTACGTTTCCTCCAGAATGATGGTCAGGGCGGCCAGTTCTTCCCCCTGTTTGGAGGCCACGCCCTTTAGGTCCCGCACCGAGTCTGTCAGGCCCAGGTGTTTGGCGATTGCTGAGACCACACACTCTTCCATCACATCCATCTGGACCACAGACCTGGCAGAGTTTTGGGATTCAGTAGGAGTGTTTACAGCACTTACAACACAAATAGGTCATAAGTGTACAGAAGATTTGAGGTCTTACAGCATACTAAAAAAAGACAGAGAAGAGATAAGGGCAGTAGGCAGGGAGGTTGTTTGTTTTTTTTTAATTCAGAAAGGGTTTTACTGCAAAAATAGATTTTAACACCGTTAAAAAAATTGCATTTGAAAAAGCTTGACATGTGAAACTCAAAATTTTTTACATCGAATTTCTCAAAACTAGGTACTGAGCTCATAGAACTCTGCAATTCAATTCTAATGTAGCGATGTGACAAGAACAAGAAAAAACTATGCCTAAACAAATTATGTCCACAACTGACCTAATGGAGGGTCTCATCCTGACCGGCTGTCTCTTGGCCAACTTGCGCAGCCCCTCCATCACGTCCAGGGACAGCTTGATACGGGGAAGTCGCGGACTGCCCAGGGCCCCTCCCTCAGCCGTGTCTGGCTTGCCTCGTGGTGAGGAAGAGGAGGAGGAGGATGAGGATGAGGAAGAGGAGGAAGATAAGAGAAGGAGGTGACCCGCAGAGGTGGAAGATTTCTCCGAAGAGGCCTTCTCCCCTCCTGACTCATTGCATGTCTCCGTTTTCCATACACATCTGGGAGAGAAAAAAGTAAAGCTGTAAACAACTTACAACAGTAAAGAAAAGAATAAAAGAAAAACAATTGAAAAAAATGAATGAGGGGGAAATTTTTTTTTTAATTGGAGGGAGGGGGGGGGATTAAGAACAAGTCATTTCTGTGTTTACAGATAGCAAGTCAGAACCAAAGTTCTATTTATTTGTTTCTACTTGTATTTGGAAAGTGCTCAGAGCCTGTGTTCTTTTATTGGGGTTGAGAACTTTATAAATGTCATATATTATCTTTATTATGATTATGATTATTATTATTACACTTCACAATAACAAAGATATAAAGGAACAGGGTGTGGGAAAAGTATGTAACAAAAGAAAACAATGGGGGGTGAAATGAGAATCTGACCTCTGCAGCAGTTTTGACTTGAGCAGATGTTGACAGTCTATCTCAGCTCGTGTCTGCGGGGGTCCGTGGTAGAGCAGGGCCAGTTGTGTACACACCAGCACAGACAGACCTAGGGCTAGGTCAGACAGGAACGGCAGGCCGGGGCTTACTTCTTCTGCTGACTCCTGGAGGGAAGAGATGATTATGTGTGAGAGAACAGTAGGAGTGGTGGGAGAGAGGGAGAGAGGGAGAGGGGGGAGAGAG